TTCAAATAATTTCATTTTTATTTAAGTGTTTTTTATGCTTTATTGAAATCTTAATGTATCCTTAAATACTTCTTGGAATATTTTATTTCTAGGAAAACAGACTTGATCATTCCTTCAGATATTTGTGGAAAGCACTGAAACAGCCACTGAAGGGTGGGAATGAATCCACAAATGAAGGTGATAGCCTATAAGCAAAAGCGATAATGACGACATGATTATAACAGAATCTTATAACAGAGGTAGGTAAAGCCATTTCTGGAAAGAAGAGGCTTGATCAAAGATAGGAGCTTTGTCCTGGACATAAAATATGTGAACAAGAGTTTATGTGGTGGTCAGTGTAGCTGAAGAATATTTTAGAAAATCAAGTCAACAAAAACATACAAGCCCTCAGCAAACTGAAGGCTACCAGGGGGAGAGCAAGGGCTAGCTCTTTCTGCCTCCAATGCTGAGCAGCAAGAGGATAGAGAGAGTGAGAAAAAAGCAGCAGGGATTTCTCTCAGTTTCTCTGGTCAGACATAAGGACTCTCCTCTCTTGGAGTTTTGGATACCTGACGAGCCACCACCGCAATTGTCACCACTGCAATTGTCACCACCACTGCCATAGAATTTCCTGGGAGACGGAGCAGTAGAAACCATAAATTCTCTTTGGCCCCATGAGGCCTTCTTTCTCCTTCTTTAGACTAAAATTAAGTGGGTTTTCTTGGAGTTCATTCTGTCTGTACCTGATGTATAGTTCACGTTTTCCAGCTGTCTCGGTCCTACAGCAGGAGATGCCAGAGGGGAAAAGTGGTTCAATAGTTCTTCAGGTTCTGGTTGCTTTCCTTAGTCTGCCTGCTGCCACATACTTTACAGGCTCCACAGAGAACTGCTATATATATTCCATCCAGGGTTTTAACTTCCTTCATGGAGAGAGACAGAGTGGAATATGTTTACTGCATCTTGACTAGACATCCCAGAAAGGATGGGATATCCCAGAAAAGATGTCTTAATTACTGTAAAAAGATTGGCTTAATGACTAAAAGTATCCAGAAACCTTTTTATCTGAAACTTGAGAAAGTCATTGGACCCATCTTAGCTTTCACCCAAGAGCTGGGGGAGAAAAGAATAAAGTTGTTTTATGAAGTGTCTTTCAACTTAATGGCTCCATATGGTTAAATTTTTAAAAAGAATATTTACAAGTATTTCACCTTAGTAATCAATTCTACAGAGCCAGTAGGAAAAATTAAAAAAAATAAAAAATAAAAAAAAAAAGTCAGTCTGAAAGTACTTGAAATGCTTAATTATTTTTCAGAGTAGACAGGAAGAAAAAGCCCCAGATCCTAACTTTGGCTCTCCGCTTCACTGAATTACCAAAAGAAGGGAAGTCTTCAGCCGTGGCTTCAGATCAGGACAAGATGGGAACTTCATCATGCCCGTGTTATTGTTGGGGGATTGATCCAAAAAGAAAAGACCTAAGTTTCAGCTGGTCCCAAACCATGGAGAATTTTACCCACACAAAGCCCCCATTTGCCAATGCAAATCTGGTAATTGGACACTTAATTACCCTATTTGCACACATAAATGAGGGGTGTTCCTGCAAGAAATCAGAGTCCACTCTTATAACTTTGGCCGCAAGCAATGAAACCACATGCTTTTGTCAACAGTTAAGTTGATTAGAATTGTGTTTATTTCTGCTCGTGTTAGGCCACATGTATTTTCACTGGAGCCTGATGTCTATTGAGTTAAAAGCTTAGTTTAAAAAACCTATGTTATGCAGAAAACCTAGATAGTAATTGCCAACTATGTGCCAAGAATCCTTTCACCATGTAGAGAATACAAGGTCTGAATAAAAAGAAATATTCTTTGCAACCTCATATGCTTGGGCAGACTCAGCAGTCTTATCGTCATAATAAAGACAGAAGGGCCTTTTAAAAGAATACTTTAAGCAAAATTTCCAGCATGGATTACTCTTTTGGGTAAATGGCTCAAACATTGAATTTTCCCATTTCCCTAGGGCAGGTAAAGGAGTGAATTTTCTCTGAATATCTTCTAGCTAGACAGTGTCCTAACAATGTCCTTAGGGGGAAAAATGTTCTTTCATTTGGAAGCATGTATTGTGAGTAGGCCCATCTGGGTTTCCTCCCTATGAATAGAAACATCAAGATTTGGCCGTTTTCTGATCTTTGATTATATGCAGGCCTGAGTTCTAGTCCTGGCTGTAACTCAAACTGTGTACTATTGGGGACAGATTCAGTTCCTTACAAGTGCTGAAAAAAAATGGTGAAGGGAAAGCTTGCCAGGGAGGATCAAGCAGTAAGTCTGGGAAATGGAGGCAGGCACAGGAGGCTTCTAAGGTAGCAATGGTGGAGGAAGATGAGCAGTAAGGAATGATCATTAGATTAGGTGATTTGAAGGTCAATAGTAACTTGGTCACTAGGTGCTTAATAAATATTCTTTGAGTGAATGGCTTAATTATCAACACAATTTGTTGAGCACCCCCTGCCCAGGAAGCACCATGCGAGGAGTCTGGATTACTTAGAAAAAGAAAATGGGCTCCTGCTTACAAGAGAGTTGTGAGAGTACTCACCAAAGAGTGAAAACTAGCCAAGGCGAAACAACTGAGCAAGACTTTCAAAGATGTAATGTGAAATGAGGGAGCAAGATGAGTTCTTACATAGTGATAGGGTGCCTCCTTTGTATTGCATTCCATAGAGGGGCTCCCCTCCCGCCTCAGGTGCAGGGGATCAAACTATGGAAAGACGGAAGCTGGCTTGTCTCCATCACTGCTGTGATCACCTTAGGTTCAATAGATGCCAACCAATGCAGAAAAGCCGTGCACCCGGGGAAGTCCTACTCCAACACGGTGAAAACCAGAGGACTCTGGAACCAGGCCTGAATTCTGGTGGCCCAGAGGTACAGTGCTTGATTTTATCACTTCTTTTGTCTCTCTGCATTATGGGGCATTTGGACTCTCTTACTTGGGCTCCATCTTCTTTCATTATTTCTCATGTGGACATGTGGGATACACACACACACACACAAACACACACACTATATATATGTGTGTGTATATATATATAAAATATAATAAATGCTATATTATTATTGTTTTATTTCCAAGGTGAATATTCAAACGAAATTCTGCTTATGTGTTATGCATGAAAATGGTTATGTGTGAAAACTGTTAGTTTGAGGACAGAAACAGAAGTACAGGCCCTGTCTGTCACATTCATCACTATAATCAACTTCCTCACCATCCCATCCCTCAATAAGACATATTTTAAAATCTTCATCACAATTTTTTTCCTTGTTTCCTTCTTCCATTCTCTTTCTTCCTTTTTTTCTCTCTCTTTCTTTCTTTTCTTTCGAGAAGCTGCAAGTGCTATTGTGATGGGCTTGACCAGAAATTATTGAAAAGTGGCTCTTTTAGTTGAACATAGAAGTAACAGTGTTTAAAGATGTGTTATCAGTGGCTAAACACTCTGACCAAACTTTAGAGGTCAGGGGGTTAGGAAAAATATTTTTTCACTTTTACAAACCTGTGAACTTCAGCTGTGTCCTGTTGGTTTAGAAGCAGAAGAGAGGAGAAGAAATTACCTTTAGTAAGTGTTGACTAGATTCCAGGCTCATTAACCAAATTATCTCAGTTAACTCTCTCTGCCACCTTCAGGTAGGTATTAATATTTACTTTCCAGATGAGGAAGAGTGTTGTTTAGAGAAGATTGACAACTTGCATAGGGTTACCTAGGGAAGGAAAAGAATCAGAAGGCATGTTCTATGACCTTAAAACACATCCAAAATACTGGTGGTTTTTAAAGCTGTGGGTCAATAAATCAGTTTAATGTATCATGACTAGAGTTTTTTTAATTAAAAAATAGACTAAAATATATTTGAAAATATCCAAGTACCATTTCCTGAAGCTTCTGCTTTAGTGCACACGTGGGGGTGTGTGTACTATGTTATGATGAAAAATGTATTTCTCCCTGAATTGTAGTCAAGTTTGAAAGCCACTGCAATTACCCATACTGGTGCTATGCAGTAAGAAAAAAGATGTCTAGTTAATTGTCATTAGGGTAACTACTTCATTTATAATCCAAACAAGAACACTTTGGAAAATGAAGGAAATGTTATCATTAATTACAGGAGGTTAGTGGACATAACGGGGATTTTTCTGGGAAAAGTTAAATGAGCATTCACACCAATAAACATTGCTATGGTCTGAATGTTTGTGTTCCTCCAAAATTCATATGTTGAAGACTAATCCCCAATGTGTTAGTATTAAGAAGTAGGGTCTTTGGGGAGGTGATTAAGTCATGAGACTGGAGCCCTCACAAATAATATTAGTGTCCTTGTGAAAGAGGGCTGGGGGAGTTTGTTTGCTCCTTCCATCACATGAAGGTATAGCAAGAAGGATGGAGCCCTCGCCAGACAAACCCCGCCACCGCCTTGATCTTGGACTTTCCAGCCTACAGAACTGTGAGAAATAAATTTCTGTTGTTTATAAATTACCCAGTCTGGTATTTTGGGTATAGAAATCCAAAAGGATGGAGACAATCACCCACTTCTCATCCCCATATCTTACATTTTAGCAACAAAATGACTGATAAAAAATAGAAAATACATTTAGGAGAGAATTGTGACATATTTTGTACTCAGTGAGGCGAAACAACTATTTCAGGTTACAGACACATGTTTTTTCCCCAGTACACTATTAAAGTTCTAAATCATTGTATACTGGTGCAAAGAATATATTATTTCTCCTAGTCAGAGACTGCAATGTTTGTCAGCACAATCTTGCATTATTAATGCATTATTACAAGCACAGTTTTGTGCTTGTAACTAACTCTATGCAATACCTACTGCATTTTTACAAATAATAGCAAGAGCATTGCAAGTTTAACTTCACTCCTTTATCCTCACTACATTTTACAACGTGTGTGATATCAGTTATAAAGGCTGACATTCTAAAGTAAAGGGTTAAATGGCAATACATGGAGGATCAACGATCATATGACTTACACTATCTGAAAATATGAATGTTCGATCTGTGGACAGTGCTTAGTGACTTTTGGAGAATGTGTGGTCTTTCATCATCCCTGCTCCTCTTCTGCTCACCATTGATACCTGCAGGAAAAGAATAAAAAAATGTCAAGTTATTGGGAGTACCCAGCTTTTTTGCTACCATATTCCTTCCAGGGATTTTTTTCTGTTATTTGTTCATTTAGTAGATGTAATTATGATCTATATGCTAGTTACTGTGCTAACACACTAGGAATAGAAAAATGAATTAGAAATTTTCTCTGCCCTTGATGGTTGTTTAGTTCAGAGAGAGAGAAGGAGAAAGAGAGAGAGAGAGAGAGAACAGATAAAAGGCCACGCAATTATGACAAAAGCTATAATAAATGAACAGAATCCTCTGGACACTCAGATAGCTAAAGAGACTCTGCTGTGTACTGAATGTGTCTACTCCAAAATTCACATGTTGAAACTTATTCCCAATTTGATGATATTTGAAGGTAGGGCCTTTGGGAAGTAATTAGGTCATGAGAGTGGAGCCCTCATGAATGGGATTAGTGCCCTTATGAAAAGAAGGGACATGAGCTCTTTCTTTCTGCTCTGTGCCATGTTAGGCTACAAGAAGGTGGCCATCTGCAAACCAGGAAGTGGGTCCTCATCAGACACCAAATCTGCCAGAACTTTTATCTTGGGACTTTCTCCAAAACTGTGAGAAATAAATGTTTGTCGTTTAAGCCATCCAGTCTATGGTAATTTATTATTGCAGCCCACAGTAAGACAGACCAACTCTGCCTGGGGAAGTCAAGAAGGCACAGAAAGAAAGAGAGAGAGAGAAAGGGGCGGTGGGGTGGGGGTGGGACAAAGAGCATGTATTGTTTCCAGCAGAGGAAAAAATGTGTGCATGGCCTGGAGTCCTGAAATGATAATGTATGTTCTGAGACTGGTATAGTTTTTTACAGAGGTGTCCTGGAAGTGATGTTTGGAATAAAAAGTGGTGCTAGATTGTGAAAAGTTATGTTACAAAGCCCATGCATATGGCACAGACAGCAGTCAGACAATAGATAATGTTAAGTGCGGGAGGAAAATAATCAAGATTAATTTTTATCTTTAATAGAAAGAGAACTTCATAGGAGGACGGTTGATGGACTGTGATTTGAAGAGTCTGTGATATTATGTCCAGCAGGAGATGAGGGCTACAGCAGGTTAAAAATAGCTAGGTAGAGATGAGGGTCCATTCCTCTGTGCATGAATAGCTGACTGCTTTGACAAATGGATTATAACCAAAGTGTCACTACACCTAATTCAGACCTAGCCATTAAGAGGACTGGAATCTTCTGCCTTTGTCTATTGAAATTCTCAGTTGCCACATGAGAAATCCAACTACATTACACGGAGAAGCCACAAGTCCACAGTCCACAAATATTGATAAATTACAATTAATTAAATGTTATAGTTTGCTAGATGTTCTTAGTTGTTACCTAATATCCTTTCTCTGTCCCAAGATCCCATCCAGGATACCAGATGACATTTAGTTGTCGTGAACCTTAGGCTCCTCTTTGCTATGACAGTTCCTCAGGCTTTCCTTGTTTTGATGACTTGACAGTGTTGAAGAGCACTGGTCAGGTATATTGTAAGCATGTCTCTATATTAGAATTTGGTATTTTCTCATGATTAGACTGGGATATGAATTTTGGGGAGAAAGATCACAGAGGTAAAGTCTTTGATCCACTTTGAGTTAACTTTTGTATGTGGTGTGAGGTAGGGATTCAATTTCATTCTTTTCCCATGGATATACAGTTGCCCCAGCACCATTTGTGACAAAAACTTTGTTTTACCTTTTTAAATATTTTTTGAGAGGAGGGGGAATATTCTGGATGATTTACATTCATATGTGAATTTTGGGGTCACGTTGTCAATTTTGGAAAAATTAGGTAGGATTTTTATAGAAATTGTGTTGCATCTGTAGGTCAGTTTGGGGAGTATTTCAATAGTAATAATGTTAAACCTTTCAATCCTTGAACATAAGATGTCTTTCCATTTATTTAGGCCTTCTTAAGTTTCTTTCAAAATGTTTTCTTAATTTTATTTTCTGATTGCTCATGCCAAGTATATAGAAATATAATTGATTTTGTATGTTGATCTTGTGTCTTTCAATTTTGCTGAACTTTATTCATTGCAATAGTTTTAGTGAAATCCTTAGCATTTTCTGTATTCAAGATTATGTCATCTGCGATTATAGTTTCACTAATTTCTTTCTAGATGTCTTTTATTTCATTTTCCTTCCTAATTTCCCTAACTAGAAATGTAACTGCTCAATGGTCAGAGGCATTTGAACCAGAGCAACTCCATCTCGAATATGGTCTGAGTAAAATGAGGCTGAGACCTACTGGGCTGCATCCCTAGAGAGGCATTCTAAGTCACAGGATAAGATAGGAGGTTGGCACAAGATACGGGTCATAAAGACCTTGCTGATAAAACAGGTTGCAGTAAAGAAGCCAGCTAAGACCCATCAAAACCAAGATGGTGACGAGAGTGACCTCTGGTCATCCTCACTGCTACACTCCCACCAGTGCCATGACAGTTTACAAATGCCATGGCAATGTCAGGAAGTTACCCTATATGGTCTAAGAAAGAAAGGCAGGAATAATCTACCCCCTTTTAAGCACACAATCAAGAAATAACCATAAAAGTGGGCAACCAGCAACCCTTGGGGCTGCTCTGTCTATGGAGTAGCCATTATTTTATTCCTTTATTTTCTTAATAAACTTGCTTTACAAACTCACCCTGAATTCTTTCTTGTGTGCGATCCAAGAACCCTCTCTTGGGGTCTGGATCTGGATCCCTTTCCAATAACAGAATGAATTCATTTTGCCCATTGCCCAGATGGAGCCTACTAATCAAGGCAGGGTGATTGCAATAGAGAAAGAGTTTAATTCAAACAGTGCTGGCTGAACAGGAGACTAGAGTTTTATTATTACTCGAATTAACCTTTCTGAAAATTGACAGGCTAGGGTTTTTCAAGGCTAGTTTGGTGGGCAAGGGAATAGGTGCTGCTGATTGGTTGGGGGTGCAATCATAAGGATATGGAAAATAGTTCTCATGTGCTGAGTTCACTTCTGGGTGGGGCCACGGGGCTGGTTGGTTGGCCCAAGTGGAGCTACTGGTGGTCATAAATGCAAAAACCAGAAATGACATCTCAAAAGGCTAATCTTAGGTTCTGCAATAGTAATGTTATCTGCAGGGATAATTGGGGAAGTTGCAAATCTTGTGACCTCTGGAATAAAGGCTGCTAATTTTTTATATCTACACCTTAGCAGAATTCAGGCTACTGTCATACTCCTAAACTGGTGGTCTTTTATTAGCTTTACAAAAGTGGTTTAGTTCTGGGGAAGGGCTATTATTATTTAAACTACAAACTAAATTTCTCCCAAAGTTAGCTTGGCCCAAGCCCAGAAAAGCCTGAGAACAGTTTGGAGGTTAAAGGCCAGGTGAGACTTGGTTAGATCAGATCTCTTCCATGACATAATTTTCTATTACAATTTTTGCAAAGGTGGTTTCAGAAACTCCAGTAAAATTTTAATAGAAGGGGTGACAGTACATACTGTTGTCTTGCTCCTGATCTTAGCAGAAAACCATTCAGTTTCTTAACATTAAGTATGATATTAGCTGTGAGATTTTGTAGATCCAAATTATTAGATTCAGAAAGTTTCTTTCTCCTCTTAGTTTGTTGTCTTTTTATCATGAAGTGGTACAAATTTTGTCTAATACTTTTGCTGTAATCTGATGATTATGTGGTTTCAGTACTTTATTGTATTAATATGTTTATTACATTATTGATTATCAGATGCTAAGCCAAACTTACATTGTTGGGATGAATCTCACTTAGTCATGATATATAATGTTTTTATATGTTGCAGGATTAGGTTTGCTAGTATTGTGTTGATGATGTTTGCCATGTATATTTATAAAAGATGTTGATCTGTAATTTTATTTTCTTGTGATGTCGTAACCTTTTTTTTTTTTTTTTTTTTGTACTTTAAGTTCTAGGGTACATGTGCAAATGTGCAGGTTTGTTAGATATGTATACATGTGCCATGTTGGTTTGCTGCACCCATTAACTCGTCGTTTACATTAGGTATTTCTCCTAATGCCATCCCTCCCCCAACCTCCCACCCCATGACAGGCCCCGGTGTGTGATGTTCCCCTTCCTGTGTCCAAGTGTTCTCATTGTTCAATTCCCACCTGTGAGTGAGAACATGCAGTATTTGGTTTTCTGTCCTTGCGATAATTTGCTCAGAATGATGGTTTCCAGCTTCATCCATGTCACTACAAAGGACATGAACTCATCCTTTTTTATGGCTGCATAGTATTCCATGGTGTATATGTGCCACGTTTTCTAGTTTTTTTTTTTTTAAATCAGAGTAGTATTAACCTCACAGAATAGTTGTGAAGTATACTTCTTTTTCTTTCTTTTTTTCTTCTTCTTTCTTTCTTTCTTTCTTTTTTTTTTTTTTTTGAGACAGGGTCTCACTCTATCACCCAGGGTGGAGAGCAGTAGCGCAGTAGCACCATTATGGCTCACTGCAGCCTCAACCTCCTGGGCTCAGGTGATTATCCCATTTCAGCCTCCCAAGTACCTGCAACTAAAGGCACATGCCACCATGCCCACCTAATTTTTTTGTATTTTTTGTAAAGATGGAGTTTCACCATGTCGCCCAAGTTGGTCTTGAACTCCTAGGCTCAAGTGGTTCACTCACCTCAGCTTTGCAAAGTGCTGGGATTACAGGTATGACCTACCATGCCTAGTCTCTTTTCTATTTATTGAAAGATTATTGTTAGTTGTTCTGTAAACATTTGGTAGAATTCACTAGTAAAGTGTTCTGAGCCATGGCTTTTCTTTGCAGAAAGTTTTTTGATTACTAATCATAATTCTATTTTTTATAAATATACTCAGATCTTCTGTTTATTCTTGAAAAAGTTTATGTAGTTTATGTCTTTCTAGGAACTTATTCATTTCATCTAGATTATCTAACTTGTTGGTATGCATTTCCTCATAGTGTTCTTTTTAATCCATTTTTTATTTCTGTAAAATTAATAGCAATATTCCCTTCTTTATTCCTGATTTTAGCAACTTGGTATTCTTATTTTTTCCCTTTTGTCAGTCTAGCCAATAGTTTGTCAATTTTGTTGGTCTCCTCAAATAAACAAGTTTGGTTTTATTGGATTTTCTCTTTTTTAAAATTTCTCATTTTACTAATTTTATTCTAATCTTTACTATTGTTGATTTTTCTCTATTGCTTTTTTATTTCCCATTTTATTAATTTAATTCTAATTTTTATTATTGCTTTTCTTCTGAGAGATTTGGATTTAATTTGTTCTCTTTTTTTCAGTTTTTGAGGTGGAAATTCGTTATTGATTTGAGACTTTTTTTCTTTCCTAATCTAAATATTTAATGCTATAAAATTCTCTCTCATTGCTTTAGCTGCATCCCATAAGTTTTGTGTGTTTTTATTTATTTTCATTCACCTCAAAGAATTTTCTAACTTCTTAAGATTTCTTTTTAGACCTATTAGTTATTTAGGAGAGTGTTGTTTAATTTTCACATATTTGTGATTTTCCCTATTGTCTTTCCGTTATTAATATCTGCTTTCATGCCACTGTTATAGAATAACGTATTTTGTATGATTCCAATCCTTTTAAAAGTATTGATATTTGTATTACGGCCTAGCATAGAGTCTATCCTGGAGAATTTTCCATGTGCGCTTGAGAAGAACGTGTGTTCTGCTCCTGTTGAGTAGAGTGTTCTATAGATACAGATTGTAGTTTATTCATAGTGTTTTTCACACCTCCTATTTCCTTATTGATCTTCTGCTTAAGTTGTTTTATCCACTATTGAAAGTGGAGTGTTGAAGTCTTCAACTATTATTGTTGAATTGTGCATTTCTACTTTAAATTCTGTCAGAGATTGCTTTGCTTATTTTGAGGTTTTGCTGTTAGGTCTACGAATGTTTATTAGTATTATTATGTCTTCCTGATGAATTAACTCTTTAATTATTATCAAATGTTCTTCTTTATCTGTAGTAGCATTTTAAACTTCTTTTAAAAAATATTATTATAACTACACAAGCTTTCATGTGGTTGCTGTGTGCATAATCAATCTTTTTCCACCTTTTTACTTTTAACTGTTTATGTCTCTATCTAAATTTTGTCTCCTATTGATGACATTATAATTGGATCATGTTTTTATATCCAGTCTATTTCTGCCTTTTGATTGGGTTGTTTAATCTATTCACATTTAATGTTTTTGTTGATATAGTTAGATTTATATCAGCCATTTTGCTTTTTGGCTTTTATATGTCTTCTGGCTTTTTCCTCTGTTCCTCTTTTACTGTTGTGTTTTGCATTGAGTGCATATTTTCTACTGTAACATTTTAATTCCTAGAATTTTTTTTAACCACAGCTTTTAATTTATTTTCTTAGGAGCTTAACGTATACATCTTACCATAACCTACTTAAGATATATATTGTCTTGATTCCAGAGAGATAAAGAAATGTTACTTCCATACAGTTCCATTCCCTTTTCCCCTTTTTTGTGCTATTATTGTTACATATATATTATATCCATATATATTACAAACCCAAGAATACATTATTGTAATTATTACTTTATATAACTTTGTCTATTAAAGAAGCTGACGAAAGAAAGGAGAACAAATAACGTTTATAGTTTGTTATACTAACCTTCTTTTGAAATGTTTCTTGTTCTTTTAATTTGTTCCTGTGAATTCAAGTTACCATCTGGTGTCATTTTCTTACTCCCATACACCTTTACCATCATTCACCTACTTTATAATGTTAATTGTCAAGTATATTATATCTTTATGTTTTAAGCCCAACAGTTTAGTTATATAGTTTTATTAAATTACTTTTCAAATCACTGAAGACATTGAAATAAAGAAAATATACATTTATACTGTCTTTTAATAGTGCCTTTATTGGTGCTTTTAAAAAATGGATTATAATGACCATCTGGAATTACATGCTTCCAGCCTGAAAACTTCTTATAGTATTTTTTGTAAAGTATATCAGCTACCAATAAATTCTATTGTTTTTGTCTATCTGATAATGTTTTTATTTCACCTCTGGTTTTGAAGGATAGTTTTACTGAATATAAGTCTCTTGGTTGACACACTGTTGGGATTTTTTTTCCTTCCAGCACTTTTGATACAATTGACCTCTGAACAACACATGCTTGACTGTATTTGTCCACTTACACATGGATTTTATTCTGCCTCTGCCAACCCTGAGATAGCAAGACCTCCTCCTACTCTTCCCTAGCCTATGCAATGTGATGACAATAAGAATGAAGACCTTTATGATGACCTATTTCGACCTAATGAATGGTAAATATATTTTCTTTTTCTTATGATTTTCTTTTTTTTTGTTTGTTTGTTTAAGACAGAGTCTTGCTCTGTTGCCCAGTTTGGAGTACAGTGGCATATTCTCGGCTCACTGCAACCTCCACCTCCTGAGTTTAAGTGATTCTCCTGCCCCAGCCTCCTGAGTAGCTGGGATTACAGGCGTGCACCACTAGGCACAGCTGATTTTTATATATGTAGTACAGACAGGGTTTCACTATGTTGGCCAGGCTGGTCTCAAACTCCTGACCTCAAATGACCTGCCCACCTTGACCTCCCAAAGTACTGGGATTACAGGCATGAGGCACCACACCTGGCTCTTTGTTATGATTTTCTTAATAACATGCTTTCTCTACCTTACTTTATTGTGGGAATAGAGTATAAAATACATATAACATACAAAATATGTGTTAACCAACTGTTTATTTTATCAGTATGGCTTTTGGTCAACAGTAGGCTATTAGTAGTTACTTATGAAAGTCAAAAGTTATATGAGGATTTTTGTCTAAACAGGAGATTGGTGCCCCTAACTTGCGTGTTGTTCAAGGGTCAACTGTATATTGTCCCACTGCCTTCTGACTCTCATTGTTTTTTATGAGAAGTCAGCTGTTTATATTATTGGAATTCTGTAGTATGTGTTAAGTCATTTTTCTCTTTGATATTTTCATAATTTTATCTTTGTCTTCTAGCATTTTTCTATGATGCATACAAATGTAAGTTTATTTGTACTTGTCTTACTTGGAGTGTATGGAACTTCTTAGATGTGCAGATTAATATTTTCAGCCAATTTGGAAGGTTCCAGTCATTATTTCTTCACTTTTTTTTTGTTTTTTTTTTTAATTATCTCTTCTCCTTCTGTTACTCCTATTATCATGTGTTGATGCTCTTAATGGTATTACACATTTCTGTGAGGATTTATTCATTTTTCTTCATTTTTTCTTTCTACTCTTCAGATTTATAATCTCTCTCAATGTATCTTCAAGTTCACAGATTCTTTTTGTCTGTCAGTTGAAACCTGCTGCTGAAACCCTCTAGTGAATTTTTTAATTTGGTTATTATGCCTTTCAAGTCCAGAATTAGCACTTGGTTCTTTTTTTATAATTTTCTTATCTCTTTTTTGATGTTCTCTATTTAATGAGATGTTGTCATATCTTCTTTCACTTCTTTAGACATATTTTCTTGTAGTTCTTTGAATATATTTAAAATGGCTCTTTTAAAGTCTTTGTTAAACCTGACATTTGGGCCCTCTTACAGCCAGTTTTTGTTGCCCTCTTTTTTCCTATGTATGGGTCACAATTTCCTGTTTCTTTGTATGTCTTGTGATTTTGTTAATTATTGTTGAAAATTGGAAATTTGTTAAAGTAACTCTGGATACTAATTCACTTCTGTCCTCACCAGAGCTTGTTTTTGTTGTGGCTTGGTTGCTTTTTTGTTTGTTTGTTTTTTTGTGACTTTACTAACCTATTTTAGTGAGATCTCTTTCCTCTGAAACGTAGCCTCTGTTGTAATTTCTCAAGGGTGTAGTCTTGAGTATCTGCACAGACAACCTGGGATGACTGATTTTGGCAGCACTCTCTTTGAGTGTTTCTTTCCATGATCTTTCTGTTAAGTTGTCTGCCTTTGGTATTACACCCAGCTGTTTTGTCAGTAAGGGTATAGCCAAGCAGATTCTACCATTTAGTGAACTGAACTTAGGCCAGTTAGTTGTCTCTCTAAGCCTTACTTTCAGAGTGATATTAGTCAAATGACTAATAATACACATTCTAATATGTTATGCCAGTTAAATTAAATCATGGAAATAAAATCATCTACCATAGGATCCTTGGCCCAATGCATGTAGCTCATGCTTAGTCCCTGTTATCCAGACTTCCTCAGTACATATGAAGTTGATGAGTGTATAATAACAAAACTTCAAAATTCTACACCACAAATATTACAGAAATAATGATTTTCTTCCCAAATCTGGTTTTGCCTATCTGCTTTATTGGCTGATAGCAAATATCAACTAGAATTAAGCTTCTCATTTCTACTTTCTAGATTCATTGAGCATCAGGGAAGTTCCAGGATGTATTTTGTTCAACATTTGCCTATAGCCGGTTAACAGTCAGATTCATCTGAAAAAAAAAAAAAATCTTTACTGTTAGTACTTACTGATATGTTCTTCCCCAAAGCATCAGCACAATCAGATTTCACCTTAAGAGGAAAAATAGTAATGTTAGTCATTCACTGAACAATTATTAAGTATCTGGTATGTTCCAGGGAAAAAAAGATGCTAGAGAAAAGGAAATAGAAAAGGCAAATATTGCTCTATCCTTATGAAACTTAAAATCCAGCAGAGTCCAAGCATCAAGGTATTTCAGAAGCACAAAATTTAACTGCTTATGAAACTAAAATTTGTCTCAATAACTGAGATCAAATTAATGTTTTTGTGATGATATCTTTATAGTCCTGAACAAAGTTTATAAAATATATGGGAAATGCCTTTTAGCATTCGGAAGGTAGAGCCAAACTTTTACTTCAGTTGAAGTCTCAAATTGCCTAAAATTCAAATATGAATAACATATACTATCATCTACCTCCAGGAAATTTTAGATTCGTGTAGGAGATAGGCAAATAATACCAAAACGACATAGCAGTGCCCCTGGCACAAAATGAGATGTTCAATAATGGAAACAAATATAATTACCACTTACTAAGTAGAGAAAGCTGCTTGAGGAATAAAATGTAAGGTACTTACGCCGTATGAAGTATGATGAAACATGACCTCTGGGCACAAAGGAAACAAGAGACATCTAGATTTGCATTAACTGGGTACCTTTACTTGTTCAGCACTACTATGGGAACTCTGGGGAAGGTAAAACCACCTGTCTTCAAGGTGATTATACTGATGAAAAGGACTCAGGACAGAAAACTCAGAGCCAGACCAGTTGCTCAACAATGAGTTTTAGAACTCTGAAGACCTTATCTACTCTGAGCCTCCATTTCCTTGTCTGTAAAATCAGAGTAAACATACTATCACCCAGAGCTGTTGTAAAGATTAAGTGCAATAATGGATTTAAAAGGCATGTGAAAATGTGTTCTGCAATTGTGGAGGTTATTGTTACAATCCAGCAGGATAAATGCTGAGTTTCTTCTAAGCCAATGAGGCCATCTCTGAAGACCTGAACTCTGTGTGCTCATATAAAGTAACCAAGTTACCACATCAAACATGCCTTCCCTTATTGGAGATTATTGTGGAGGTTATTGTCACAATCCAGGAGGAGAAATGTCGAGTTCCTTTTAAACCAATGAGGCCATCTCTGAAGAACTGTATTCTGTGTGCTCAAAGTAACGAAGTTACCACATCAAACATGCCTGCCCTTCTTTCTCTAACCACCTCTATGGTCCCCAACCAATGTAAATCCAACATTGATCATGTGGATGAAATGAATCTAAATGTGGTGGCTTTTCTCCACTTGGAAGCTAGAACCTGAACATGGCTAATTCTGTACCCACTCCATACTGCCCAATTTCCACCCCCTCTATCCCCACCACTAATTTGGTTTCATTCTCCCGTATTAAGGTCATACCTCACCAAATTATATGCTCCCCAAAGAATCACTCTCTTCTTGCATTCATCTCTTCATGTCCCAGAGTTCACAGCAGAGTGATTTGCATGTGACTGGTGCTCAATAGTACTTTTAATAAATTTACAAAAGGAAAGACCATTTTAGCCGATGGTGTTTAGTAAAGTTATTTCCAATATTATTTGATGCTAGCTCTTATGTTTTCTGATGTGTTACAACAGTATGCAACATTAGCCAGAGGGATAATTTATTAGTTCTAATAATATTTGTTGAGTTAGAACTACATGATAAGTGTTAGGGTTACAATAGTGAGCAAAGCCAAATCTGACTCTGCTTTCATAGAACTCAGGTTCTGTTTGTTGTTCATTGTAAATGAAGACCAAGAAAGATCTAGAAGCAGACTTGGCATTTAGCTGGAACACACAAGTACCACTGTGTATATGACCAGAATCTATCTCAGTCAGTGCTTAGGCAACAATGTTTAGGACCTATTTTTATTGTCACTTCTAACCAAATATTAACTCTTTAATTCAAAATGTCGACTGCAAAATAGATAAAAACAGTACCACTGATCTGGCCACTTGTAAATCAAAATGCTTTATAGCATTAGCTATAGTATTAGGTCTAAGTAATAGGTGTAAGACAACTCCTCCTGAATAGTCAATGTCAGCCTATTCCTGAACACAAATGCAATACAAATGGGGACTCATGTCAATTGTAAATGTACCCACTCAGATAACCTCCTTTACCTGGTTTGAGAAAGTGTTTCCTAGGGTATATACTTTGTAAACTATCCTCAAGAAATGCTTTTCAAAGCATTCCATAATCAAAATTAGAGAAAAAAATATCTGTATATGTAAGAGAACACATGAAAGCCCTGAAAAGCGCTACGGTAAAATTAAATTTAAAAAAAGGTTTGACTTGTAACCCAGGTCTCCTCATATTCGTTTCACCATAGAACCATTTTCCCAAAACACACATACAAGTGTACTGAAAAAGTAATATTCTAGGCAAGGTACTTTTGTATACTGGTTTAACTTATTCAGATCCTACTCTGGTAATTTTCTCTCTTTCTTTTTTTAAGTTGCTATCATAGGAACTGCATAAATGCATTGAGTTATTCTCTAAATCTATTTTGATCAGTTATGTCATCTGCCAAAGTGGCAATCAAAATCCTATTTTGTCTTTTAATAGAGTAAGCAGTTGAGATGAGAGCAATAATAATGGTTGTTTAACACCAGAAAAAGCCAGAGAATGATTCTTTTCTACCTGGATATGTACAGAGGCCTGTAGAGGATTCATCCTGCAAGCTCATACACAATTCATTTTCATACTTTTATTTCATATTTATTTTTATTGTACTCTACTTTGGCAATCTTAGATTAAGTTTCCAATTTTCCAAAATTGCCTGCAGTGAACTCCTATCCCCAGAGATTGTTTTTTTTTTATTAGTCTCTTAAGCAAGTTATACAATTCAAATCACCTCTCCCTGTCCACCCATCTGCTTGTTTTTGCTTTTCTTCCTCTCTGCTGGATTCAGTGTAGAAATCCTCTATGCCTCCTCTCTCCCCTCCCTGTCCACTGCCCTAAACTCTCCCCCACCGTTCTGTCTATCCTCTCTGTCAGGGTCCAGGGGCCCCTTCTGTTCACATGGCTCTGGGCCCACCTGTACCGGCCCCATCTGTCAGCAAAGCAGCCTCAGCATCCCACAAACCTGGTGGAGGAAATTCTCCTCTGAAGAATTGACGTCACTAGGTGTTCTCCTGAGAGTTGTGCCCTGAAAAATTAGCTACATTGAGAAAGAATAAAGGGCATTTCAGCATGGAATAGAGGCGTTCATCCCACTGGCATTAATAAAATACTTCTTCTACATGGGACCACATTTCAGTCTTTCATTTCAAGCATTATTTTACATCAACCTGACAATTTTTTAAAAGTGGGAATTTAAAAAAGATAATATCTTCAGGATAACCAGAAATTCAAAAATAATTATTTGTATTATTAAAAATGCATTTTATTTACTAGACCTCCTTATGCAATGTAATTATTTAGAAAATACATTTTCTTTATTAGACCTCCTTATGCAATATGAATAATTAAAAATTATAAGTAAAAATATAAATAATTATTTATATTGCATAAGGAGGCCTAGTAAATAAAATGAATTTTCTGAACCTATCATGACCAAACATATTTGCAAAATTATTTCCTCATATTCTTCCAATTCAAGTAAATACACTAATCTTTTCGGAAGAAGCCATTCAGTTATAGTTCCTTGGCACTATTTGTAAAGGAGTCAAAGAATCATATCCCAAAGGAAGTGTTTCCTTGAAAGAAAGCTTATCTCTGATATTTAAAATCCCCTGTCCCCAAAACATACACACAGTGAAAAAAGTGAAGATCTACAATTGAATAATACAGTAAGGCTTGGCTCATTTTTTCCTGTCTGAAATTTGATTCATATTTAACCCAGATTTGTGTGTCAATTTAGAGACCAAAGTGCCAAGAGGAGAACAGAATGGTCACAGCCAGCCATGGTAGAGAGTATTTGGTGCCAGGACTGAACAAGGTCTCAAAAATGTTGATGGCACCTGAAATTCATACATTAGAACCCTTGATGTACAAGCCGGTCTCTTGGTTCTGATGTTCCCTTGCCTGTTTCCTGCATGTGAGAGAAACGCTGCAGCGACCCTGTTTATCTGGCCCCTGCACAACATTGTCAGGACACATTTCCATTTTCCAAGTGACTGCTGCCACTGGGCCGCAGTCTGTGCTCATTTCTCGAGTAGCTAAACCCTTTGACACTGTGGTTTTTAATTAAAATTACATTAAAGTTAATCAACCAGAAAGAGGCTGCTGTAGAAGGCAGGTTTGATTGCAACCTGCAAAGGGCACGAAGGCTGCCAACTTGCTAAAGATGTGCCTGCAGATGCCAATCTGCGCACATGAGCCCCACGGTTACAGAGCTGCCGAGGAGAGGTCAGTTCTGTTTGCATTTTCCCTGGAACTGTCAAAAAAATCGCGATGGCAGTGGCATGGCATAAAGTTAAGAAAATAGACAAGCCTCTTCAAAGCATACCATTCCAGCATTTCTGCTACTGCCCCAAACCACTGATGTGAAGCTGTCATGTCCCAACTGTTTCCTCTTCAGACGCAGTTAAGCTCAACTGAGAGCCATTAGGTTTGTTGTTTGAGTAGGCTACAGATACTCTTAGAAGATCTTGTCTTCTACAGGCTAGGTTTCTGGCATATGATGCTGTGACTGGCTTTGCTTTGTTTTGAAAGGGCCAGAGAAAATACTTGAATGTTTCAGGATTCCTTGTTCATCTTCAGGTTCTTTGCAAAAGGGATTCACTGGAAAATGACTACTCATAGCACAGCATATCTTTATGCATTCTGAACCAAGACACTATCAAATACAAATTCACATATAGGACTTTTTATATGACACTTACTAAATGTTGCAATGGTGTTGAGTCTAAAATATAAATTATTTTATGTTCACTTCTTATATGATTAATTTACTTATATTTAGTTCTTGAAGTACCTCACACTTGGTGAGAGATTGACTAGTTTTAGATAAATGAATGAATGAATGAGTGAATGAATTAAAAGAGTGCATCATCT